AGCTGCTCCTTGGGAGAGAGAGGGGGCTTTCTGCTCCCATAAAGACTTACAATCCTAGAAATGCTATACAGGGTCACTGTCAGTTGGAACTGACTAGATTGCAGGTTTTTGTTTTTCATTATAGAATGGCAGGGAACTGGACAGTGTTTTGTACTGTTGTACAGAGAGTCACTCTGAGTTAGAACTGACTCAATGGCACCCAACAACAACATAAATACAGTGATTGAGAATATAAATGTGGCAACAACAGCAGAAAGATGATAACTTTCTGTGTTATTTTTTTTTGGCATGAGATTCAATCCATTCCTGTGCATATACTCCCATAACACATAACTGATATTTATGATTCTGAAGGCAGTTTGGGCTTTTAATAGGTGCCCTGGTGAAACTGTAGGATAAGCACTGTAGGGTAAGCAGTTAACAGCCAAAAGAAAATAAACCCAACTACTACAACCCCCAACAAAAGGGAAACTTGGGATACATGTGATCTATAAAATGCTACTTGTGTCTCTTCTTGAAAACAACTTGGTAAATTTAACTTCATGAAAAACACATTGGGGCATGATTATGAATTCTGAACATATTAACAATTCTTCCCCTTTGTCTTACATTTACGTGTTACTTTTTGGTTTAAAAATGGCTTAAGACTCACCACTCTTATTTTCTAAGCATTCTGTAGGGTGAGGTGGGTAGATGCTGCTCCAGTTCTCACAATGAAGGAGCAGCTGCATCTCATAAGTGGGAGAGACAGGACTTGGGCTCCATGGACTTGCCATGAAGTAAGCTTTGCAGAGTGAGCTTGCATAGTGCACTAAACGTAGTGCTTGACTTAAACAAAACACACTTCCTCTATTTCACATGTAGAAGATCTACTAGGTCCTTTTTCTCTCCAACCTGAAGTTTAGTATTCAGAAACTTTTCTGAAACATTTGACTGCTTAAAATGTGCCCTCCCTTTTCCACAGGTTTAAGGTATAAAGCATGAAAGAAAAATGCTAAAATCAGAAAGGAAAAATTATTATAAAAAGTAACTTATGTTGTGAGGTAATATCTTAGAAAGAAAATCAGAGGAGCATATAATTTATTATTTTACTTTGGCAACTGCATAATTCACATTAGCTTTTTCATTTATGAACGTTTAAGGGCATTAAAGAGAACATAGGAAATTCAAACACACATGTTCAATATACACAAAAGAAATGTTAAGCTTTGTAATTTAAAAAAATATATATACATATTCCCTAGACAGAATATATTCACCTAGTTTAAAAAAATGTTGAGCTGGGCCAAATTCTTTCACTCTTTTTGTTTGCTAGTGTGAACAAGAATATCTTCATTTATCAGGGCTTCAAACCTCTTCATTCAGGTTTGACTCTCTTCTAAGAATTCGCATTTCTATCCCAGATACAGAATCAGAATCTTCGTTTTAACAAGAATCCTCAGGTGATTATTCTTAATCACCCTCAGGTGATTATGTATACCCTTGAACAAGACCCCTAGGTAATTCTTATCAATCTTGTTAGGATCAAAATTTATAAGAATATAGATTATCATAAGAATTACAGGTTCAAAGCTCTGTGATTTTGCCTGAAAAAGATCTCATAATTTAGAAGCTTGAATTTATACTGTAAGATGTTCCATTGTAATAGATTTAAAATAATGAAAAATTATGACAGGATGCATGAGACTGCAGTTTTCTAATTATTATGCTGTAACATTTTTGAGCACAGTACACATATGAGGTCATTCAGTTTTTGCTTTTTCATTTTTATG